TGAACTCTCGAAGACCATGACTCACTGCTATTCTCCATCTAAGAAGAAGGGCTATACTGTTGAAGTTCCCCATTTACCCTACAAAATTTCTAAGTGAATGCTTTGTGTATTACTTTGTTTTTATTTTTAATTACCGAATACTCACATCCCAATACTCCAGATACTTGAGAGATATACTCTATCAGGTATCTGGAGTGTCAGTAGCTGTTAGCAGATATACTGTACTCTGTCAGTAGATATACTAACATCTACTTACCCCGAGTTGATCAGAGAGATGTGCTAGCATGTGATGGCTACAAAGTAACAGGTAAAAGATTAACTCCACAAAAATTGGAAGAAAAACATTTTGGCTGTTGAGTCTTCTTCTGGTGTCTTTTTTATACTTTCTTCAGCTGTTTTCTTCAGACATGAAGTAGGTCCAACAGCTAAAACGTTGTCCATTCTTTTATCTTTCCAGCACAGAATTAACCTTTATTTGTTGATCTACTGTACTGTACACCCTGATTTGAAATACATCTTAAATATATTTCTAATTTCCTTTTCGTGAGGTAAGTCCTTACTCGCAATATCATATGCACCTTTTTGTGTGTTTATATTTAAGACCACTTTAGGGAGAATTTGGAAACTAAGCAATGATTTTTAAAAATCATCTCTCAGCCTCCAGTGTAAGCCGGAGCCGAATTGAAAAGGGCACAATGTGTTTTTCCAAGTAGTCATAAGATAGTTCTGCACATTTCCTTTCGTTATGATTTTTTCTTTTGTCTCAAAAGAGATTCCGTAATTAGGTACAATGAAACCTCAGTAAAAAGGAAAGAATGAGCTATACATGACTTTGATTGGATTGGTCCTGTGGAAGAAGGGACTAAAAAGCTATGGACACTGGTTTTTTTACAGACTGGATGAGCATGCCTTTGGCTAAGAAACACATTACCACGCTTCCAATCTACTCATTAATCTATTTCATTATTATCCCTGGCTGTATTGATTAAATATATTTTCTTTCACAAAAGAAGTGACCACTGGTACTGCAAATGCGACACTGAATTATAATCATGGTTTAAAGGGAGGTAACAGGTTTGAAAAGTAAAAAAAAAATGAAGTCAATATGATGAAAAAGCAATATGCTCCATGACTGGAACAGAACATACTCTGCATATCACTAATGATTTATTCAGTTTTTAAGATTATTTTCATTAGTTGCAGATTCACAGTTGCTAAGCCTTCTGTGGCATGTGAAATAATTAAACAACAAATTCTTATTTAAAAGACCCATCAGCTGAGCACAAATGCAGTGATGGAGAAATATGCCTCTAATTTGCAAACACACTTTATTAATATTATTTTTTTACTTATCCTGTGTGCAAGGAGACCACAATGAGTGTCAATAAAATATCTTGACATTCATTAATGCTTTGACCAATGCTTAAATGTTTGAAGGCAATAGTGTCATTTGCAATGAATGTATCAAACCAGACATTTAATTATAAAAGCAGCAGGAGGTTATTGGTAGTTATTGCCTTAACCACTTCATTAAAATCAGTACGTTCTTTCACTCTGTGCTTCTCTTTAAGAACAAAATAGTATTAATACTACACGGATGTGTCCATTGTGGTATAATTGGGTTTATTGGAGCTATTTGCTTTGGAGGTATCTTGTATGTGTAAAGTTAAAACAAAGACAAAGATAAGATTGTTTTGCTCTACTTTGTTTTGTCAGTCCATTATTTCAACAAACGAAGATGAGCAATGCAATTAAGGCCATGTTAATCTGTTTCATTGGTATCTGTAAGCAGCTAATTTTCTGTGCCATTTCACATCCCCTTTCTTGAGGTTCCTAAATGATAAGGACACAGGCACAAATCTTATTATTTCCTTCCCTAGTTGGAACTGTTTTGAAAGAAGCATTTCTCAAGCTCACACCAAAAAGAAGTTATTAAAATTGTTGAATATGGGGTATAGTAAACAGAACCATTAGAAATGATATGTATAAATGTTTAGTTAATCATCAAGAAACAAAGACATAGAAATGTAAGCCTGAAGTGTAATTAAACATTTTAAAGGCATTGATAACACTATCTTGAGTACCAAAACTTGATTAATAGAATTTAAGCTAACTCATATGTCAGCCTCAAGTTGCAGAAAACAGAATATTTAAGGGCTGTTGGAATATGGCAGACTGCTCACTTCTGGGAATTAAGTTCCTGGAATACAGTGAGTCATTCTGATCTGAAGGCACATCACATAATAAACTGCTTGCAATGATCAGTCACCATTTAGGCGGCTGTCTAAAGATGTCAAGACAGATAAAAAAAGCACAGCTGAAGAAACGCGACAGTTCAGAAATTAAACCAAAACTATATGACCTTTCCATAGAAGAATGATACCATGCTAAGAACATTTTCAATAGATGCCAATGGTGATCTTAGACTTAAATTATAAGTCTGAAAGGAACAGAAAGAAGAATCAACTTTAAGGAACACTCTGTAATCTGTACAGTATTCTGTGTAATGTCTATGTAAAATGATGCAAGAGACCAGCACAAATAAGCTCTTGTATGGGTGGTTTTTCTATTTAGCTCACCATCATTCATTCAATTTTCATAGGTAACAGAATTAGTCATAGAATGTCTCTATCTAGGTTTTTGATATATCTAAATGATTTACAGTATTAGATATACAAAAACACACATATTCAACAACATAATATAAATTGATATCTCTAAGGTTAGACAACTCAGCATTTAATTTTATTGATATCAATATTAATTTAATAACCATTATGTACAACAGACGTTACCATAGGATTTCAACAACAGGCAAAAGTGTGATAGAAATACTACAGATTTTCTGGTAGAAAGTCACCACTCTAGCACAAAACATACCTTTATTCCTTCTGGGATACATTTTCTTTAGTTATTGAGTATTCAGAAGATTATCACAGCAGAATATACTAAAATGTCTCATGGTGAAATTATCATTTCATCTTGATGTGAGTGATACAGCTATTCCCAAAATTTTTATTGACTACACAAAATGTATTGATTTGAATCAATCAAGACAATGACTGTTCTTCACTGTAATTCTGCAGGGCAGGAATACTTGCACATTAGTTACAGAACCAGGTTTATAATGCATATAAAATGACATCTAAAACGTGATAATGATTTGTATTATCACAGAAAAGTACCTCAGGAATGCTACAACAGGAAGTACTGTAGTTGTTGGGGACAATTCGTCACAAGATTAAAGAAAACCACAAGTCATATTTTTGTTATCAACAACATTCAAAACCCAAGACAGAGTATTTCTGAGAACATTCACTTTTCATTTTTCTCCCATCTCTCATCCCTTTTGGAGCTCTCTTTGTCACACATAATGCCACAAAGCCTAGTACTGTACTTGCTCAAATGCTAGAGTAAGAGCCGATTCCTGTTCAGTCCAGTAGTTCTCACCAATAGTGTGCTCATGAACAATCAAGGTCAAGTTACTAGGGTGATAGAATTCAATTGGCTCCTGTCAGTGTGGGACATCTGCCTGCCAGGAAGAATCGGGAACAACAGATTTTGGCTGTGTGTCGGATCAAAAAGAACACGACAGTGAGATTGTTAGATTAGACATTCCAATGTATTTTTAAATAATCCTTCTCTTTTCGTCATAAGGTAAAACATACAATACCACTGCATTGGGTTTAAAAGAAAACCATTTAGCATTTTGCTTAAAGGCATGCACTGATTTAAATTTATAGAAAAATCAGGTGATTTACTTCAAAGTATGGGTTTGATATTCTTGAAAGATACGAAGGATTATAAACAAATCATCCTCTTCAGAATTCTCCTGATTTTTGTATTTACATAATGATTGGCATCATCATTATAATAAAACCCATTACTGATATGGTCCTGGCATCCAACTGCTAGTTTACACAGAGCCCATATATAACGTAAACTCTTCAATGAGTTGAAATTGTTTAATACAAGGAATAGTAAATAAAATGAACAATATAAGGTCTCGTCACCTCCTATCGAGCAGAAAATACTCTTCAAAAGACAATGCAAGCCAGAATAAATCAATGCTTATCAGTGCCAGACACTATTTTCAGTCGCTGAAGGATGGAGGTTGAACACTGAAGCTAATGATCAGCTGTTCATTTTCCTTCTTTCTTCTGTTAAGGCAGATGGAAAAAAAAACTGCCTGTACAGGTACCTTCATTTCATTCACGGTCCACATACTTGTCAGAATAATGCATAAAACAATAAGCTCATGTCTTTCATTTTTATATTGTCTTTTCCTGAGTCAACATCCTGAAGCAGAGATTCATAATTAGTTTCTTTAGTATTATTACCAATAGATTTGACTGATACTTTTTTCCCTAAAACAACTTAAGGAGTTGCTACAGGATTCAGGATTCAGGCATTGTGAACAGCTAAATTCATTGAAACAAAGATGAAACATATTGAAGAGTAGGCAACTTGATTTCTTTAGAACATGATGATTCTGGAGATGTAGTTGATCAGCATGGGTTAATGACAGTAGTGAACACAGTATTTGAAAAGGATAGGTACAGGGCACTAAAGCAAACAACACAAACGGTCAATAATTTCATTAAGACCGCCTTCTAAATTAAGGATGTTTTCATTATTTCTAGTGTGATATTATTCCATTTATATTCTGGAGGAATCTACCAATTTGTCTAAGAGGTTCACGTGCAGACTGCCAAGGAAATAAATAGAGCTATAAATCTATCAATTTATAAATCTGATGCTGAAATTCATGTTCATCATCCAGGTGGGGATGCACACTGGTGGTGGTAGAAGGGATCCCCATTACCTGTAAAGCACTTTGAGTGGAGTGTCCAGAAAAGCGCTATATAAGTGTAAGGAATTAATAATACTTTTACAGTTTTGTAGTCTATAATGGTGGGTGAAATTCAACATATAATCCTTTGACACACACAGTCATTGATTACTAAAGTTTATTTTAAGACAAACATAAGCCACATTACCTGCACAAAGGAAAGAACTGCAGCCAAACTGAAGTGCTGGTCTTCTTGTATCCTTATATCACATGGAGTAAAATGGCAAACCTGGGCAAAGCTCTCTTTGGAGGGCTGGCTGATTGAAGGGGACATGGGAAAATGAGGGAAAGAAGCCAAATTGAGAAATAAATAGCATGTCATGCAAAACTGCACACAAACTTTGACCGTTGATGGAGAAATCCATTTACACAAACCACTTCAGCAGCTGCCTCTGTAACTTGTGCAAATTTGTTTTGGATGATTGAGGTTTTTCCATGAGAGATGATGTGATGCTTCAGCATGTGTGTTGATTTTGAAACTATACTGCTCAGCAGGGGCTGTCTTATGCAGGTTTGTGGTCATAGTTTGTTATTCCTAAGTAGAGCACCATGGATGCCAAATGAAGACTGCTCATATTCAGCTCACACAACTTTAATTAATATACTGATATTTGAAAATTAACATTAAGTATTTTAATAGGCACTACTTGCAATATTGAGAATATATCTGTCTATGGAATTGTATGCAGTATATACAGCATATATATGTTAAATGAATTCTTAGCATTGTGAAGCTTAGTCCTCCACAATGACCACATGAAAACATGCCCAATATTTTTGAATCAATATTTTGGACTCCACATCCGAAACGTTGTGTTTTCTTTCTTCTCTTTTCAGTATGGAATAAACCTATTACTTGTTCCTTTGCAGCCTACGCGGCTACCCTGAACTAATATAAAATATTCACAATATTAAATTATGCTAATAATAATAATAATAATAATAATAATAATAATAATATGTAAAGCCTTATGTGGTTTTGCATAGTGCACTTAAACTTTATTATTGAGTGAGTGACTCAAAGATTCACATACATTTGCTTAAAGGAAATCAAATGGGGGGGAAAATCCATTTGTGAACATACTGACCACAGTATGACCTTCCCACGTGTTCAGTTTCTCCTCATAACTGCTACATGGGACAAATGCAGTTGTCCCGACGTACTCTGTCAGGACCATTGGAGTACAAAATAAAAGATTTGGAAACTAATGCATTGCCAGCAGTCAAAACAAATGGGTCAAACAAATCTTGCTGTCGTGGCCTCAACTCTCCCCCCCCCCCTTATCCTCTTCTATTTCTGAAAGCCTAAATCAATGCGCTCAAAGCTCTAAAGGCGTAGTTCGGTTTAATTAATGATTTGAACTGCGCAAAGTCATTTATAATTAACAAACGTCCTTCCCTAAAGCCTATGGAGCCTTACAGGGCAAGCACGTTTAGAGATATCTTGTGCGACTGCTACATGTACAAAAAATACTTTTGCCCCAGTGGCAATGAAACACTTCACACATCTTTGACTTAATTGTATGTTTTAACCACAGGGAGTTTCAGTGGTTCTCCTTTCAATCACTGTGAGCTCAGTGTACACTGTGATCCTTCTGACCTTTAATTTATTATTTGCTTGTTAACATTTAAGTATTTTCCCAAGGAGTTCTTGAACTTGTTGACTCAGGATTTTTAATCACCCCTACTGCTCCCCCTTTTAAAGGGGCACATTGATATTTCTTAAGAGACTCTGTATTAAAATTCCAAACTGTTTATTTCTCATTAAATGAAGTAGCAAAGCTGATAATACTTGTGAATAAATTGCTTCGCAGACCAGCCTCCTGGGATGTTGTGATTGAGTGGCTGAAATCATAGATCAATAATTTATTTCTTGTCTTGCGTGCTGTTATCAGACAACAACAAATCTGTGTGAGTTCAGCAGAGTGTTCATGAATTCTAGTTTAATAGTAATGAAATCTTGCCGTAAATTCGCCTTTACTGCAATGTATGCTTAAGCATTCACACAGTCATGTATCCGTATATTAGCATTTATAAATGCATAGAAACACATATATATGTATGTATAATCACAAAAGTATATGCAACGTAGATAAGATGACATCTTCCTACCGGGTGATAATAAAAGCACAACCAAACAGATATAATTAGATAAACAAATCAATACCCCCTAGGTCATAATGTGGATGACAACCCTGCAATTTGGCACAGCTTTCAGTGATTTTTTACAAGCATGAGGCTTTATTAAACAGAAAGATCTGTGAAATAAATGAGATAAACATCTTGCCAAAGAATCCTTAGGTCACCTGAGTGCAAGCTGTATGCAGTGCACTATTTCTTCTATGCTTTCAAGACATGACTTTTGGTGGAAATGAGAGATTGGTTCAGAGGCGCTGGGATGCATGATGGGCTGACAGGACTGAGGCAGCTCTAAAAGGGGCTTCATATCGACATCTGCCAATGCAAAGCATGAGAGTATTGGGCTTTGTGTCAAAAGACACAGCCCCTTGCTCTAAACTGTAAAATTTAACTCCAAAAACAGCAGGCTTAGTGCAAAGTCAGAGGGTGATTTGCTGAAGCCTTTCAGCCGAGATGCTAGTGTGGCTGACCTGAACACATGTGTAATGTAACGTGCTTTTAATTACTTAATTTCATTTAATAACATTAACTGTACATGCCTAATTGGATTTTAATTAATGAACACTAAAACTGTACAGCCATGTCCTGCTTAATTGTGATAAGAGGATAGGAAATGTCCTTTCAATATTATATAATCAATGAATTAGGTTAATCGATTAACATGATTAACTATTATTGTTACTTTTACTACTGTATATAAAGAGGGAGGACTAGTGCACAGAAAAAGCAAAACCTTTGCTTGAAACGTCACTGCCCAATAGAGCAGGTACAATCTTATGGACTCATCTTATTCCAGTAAGCATGAATCATAAAGATGTTACAGCTTAAGCTGCTTTATTTTTTACGTCAAGAAAAAACATCAGTGGAATAGAATAAAGCCCAAGAAGTCTCAGAATGGCTAGGGAACCAGTTACATTACCAGTTTAAAAACGTAACTACCTTGTTAATACAGTGGATTATAAATACAGTGTGAACTATTTGTGGGGAAAAAAATAGTAATTGTTGCTGTAATATTCAGGAACCAAATTAATTAACCAATGTAAAAAATAACTTATTCAGGTTTTTTTTCTCTTGGTAAGGAGATTTAAAAAATGTCTTTTGCATTATCCTGGTATTATCTGGATGTGTTCAAACCTGTACAAATATATTACCAAGGTAGAGGCAAGAGCAACTTACCATAACAGAACTTAGGCTGTTTCAGGAATCCTAATGTCTGAATCAGTCAAGACTGGTAGTAACTGGGTCAGATATCAAAACAGCCTCAGCATTCCTACATAAGGAGATGGATTAATTATTAAGGGGAGTTTTATTCAGCTTTTATATCTACCAAATTGAACTGTGAGATGTGCAGATGTAAAAATTTGGAATATGTTCAGCTGTGTGTTAAATGATCAAAGCACACAAATTAAGTCAATACTTTCTAATCCTTAATTTAACAGCATCACATTTTAAGAAGGACATTATAAATTACTAATTTAATTTGTCACGCTGTGATCATCTCTCTCGAACTCCCTCCTTGCTAACCTTGATCTAAAAACGTTTTGGTGTCCAAGAGGCCCTATGAATTCACCAGGGTATAATTTGTAGAAATAGTACATTCAAAAAAATCTATTTCAAAATAACTCAGGTACAACAGATTTTGAATGCTATTATAAGCAAATCAAGAGTAATTAGCATTAGGTAATAATTATGATGAATAATTGTAGCATCCTAGCATCATATACAGTATTGTATACTGTACTGTATGTATCAAGGAAAATTCACCTGCTCTACTCCAGCTTTTCTTTACCTTTGTAGTTGGATAATGTGAATCTTTTACAAGCGATCCTGGCAAATCCCCTTTGCCAAACTGTACAGTAGTTCTTAGAAATCAGACTTTTATGGTTTCTCTTCCATGTGGCACCAGTTCTTATTTTTATGGTTTTTACAACGCCTATTAAAAATCACAGCTTATTGCAAAACATATGAACATGTGACCACATGAATTTTTCCTACATTTATTTTTCATGACTGTGAAAATCCACAGAGAAATCCTTTTCGTTTACAATTGTGTCCCAGAGGCTACATCCAGGCGTAATTCCAGCAGGTTCTCCGACATTTATATATTGAAATGAGAAAAAGGCAATTAACACAGGGCAGTTACATTATTTTTAACAATTCCAAAATCATTTTGCGCACAAAAAATAATGATAATTGTTCTCATGGGGTCTATCTATATATCAAATATTTCAAAAGGCATGTCTGGTGACAGAATGTATCCTGTATTCAGATATGTGAACATCAGTATAACTTCTTTATCATTTCATCATAGTTGACGATATCCATCATCATGCTTTCAGGTTGTGTTGTACAAAGCTAAATTACTCCTAAACAGCATATTAATGGTTAATAATTTCATTAGTACCACCATCTACATTAAGTATGTGTTCATTATTTTATATTGTTATATTATATTTTTTGTGTTGGAATTTATCTGTGGGTTTGTCTACGAGTATGGAGTTGCTTCAGGATGTCTGTCTCCAAAAGAACAGGTAAAAGTTCTTTTTACACTGAAAGCATAAAAGAAAACTCCACATTTTGGCTACCGAATTACTCACACATGAAAGAGGTCTGGAATTAACCTCTATGTGAACAGTGTCTATCATAAAATGGTCATTTGGTAGTCTGCAGCTACTTCATCACAAAATCTCATCCAGCCAATTATTGAAAAAGACCAAAGTAAGTGCTCCAACAACATGACTGGATAGCTTGTTCTGGATTTTCACAGCTCTTTATTTAAAGAGCTGCACCCTGTACCAGTGTTAATTGTACATTGTACATACTGTAACTTCACTGTTGATTCTGAAGTCCACTATATTAACTTTGACTTCATTGATAACTTTGAGGGTTTTAAACACATCAATTAGGTTCCCACTCTTCTTCGCTCACAAGTGAAACATTTCAGTGGTTTTAGCCTGTCTGTGCAGGACATGTCTTTGAGCCTAGTACTCTATCTGGTTGCTAGTTTCTGGACTGATTCCAGAAGAGTAATATCTCAGTGTATAATATTTTTCCTCTAAAGTTGAACACATTTTGAAACTAATTAGATAATTACCATCACCTAGGG